AGGCAGATCTCTGTGATTTCAAGGCCAGCCTGGTCTACATAGCAAGTTCCAGGCCAGCTGGGGCTACAGGGAGACCCTGTCTCAAAAGAGACCAAAAAAAAAAACAAAATAAAATAAAAAATTCCTAGCCTGTTTTGGTAGGATTGTATTATCAGAGGTTTGGTATATAAACTTACCTAGAAGGGTTCCAAGAAATACAGCTACAGCTCAGTTTACATGAGATCTCATGCTGCAAAGACCACTGGCTGAGATTCATAACATCTGGGGCCTCATATATTCTTACTATGCCATCTGCTGAACAGGTTGCTAACATAAGACCCATATGCTTGGGAGCAAATTTCACATCAGTAACAGATGTTCTACTATCCACTAATGTTGTCCTCTTCACCTGAAAAAAAGAAAGTTAATAATTTAAATCATACACAAAAAGAAAATACAATAGATCTGAAGAACAAATGTTTTACAGGCTGAAGAGATGGCTCAGCAGTCAAGAGCACTAGGTGCTCTTGCAGAGGACCGGGGTTCAATTCCTAGCATCCATATGGTGGCTAGCAACCATCCGTAAGCCCTCTGCTGACCTCCACAGGCATTGCACTTACATGCACACAGGCAAAATATACTTCTACACATAAAATAAAAATAATAAAATATTTTTTAAAAACACAAATGTTCTAGAATCACACAAAAGTCTCTGCCATTTTCTAGGTATATTATCTTTGAGTAAGTTATTTAAAAACTAACTTTGTTTCAATTTCCTATGAAGTACTTTGCAAAATACTGAATAAAAACAATTGCTAATAAATTAATGAGCTATAATTGTCACCTTTAAGACAAAAGAAAGCCTGCCTGTACAAAGCCAAAGTTACTATGTTAGTAATCTAAGTAGACTGCTCTGAAAAATAGGAAATATTAGAATTTTCATATACATAGCTCTATTGTACAAAGTATGCTGCAAGCAATAAATCAAAGGAATTAAGATCCTTTACTAGCAAACAGAAGGTTCGAAACTTCTCTCAATGTCAGTTAACCCCTCTGGTCACCTCTGCCTTAGTAAAGGAATGGATTATATCAAGAACAACAGACAAGGGGCTGGAGAGATGGTTCAGAAGTTAAACACTGGCTCTTGCAGAGGACCAGGGTTGGGTTCCCAGCACCCCAACAGAAGCTTAACGACCATCCAAAACTTCAGTTCCAGGAGATCCAATGCCCTCTTCTGACTTCTGCAGGCATTGCACGACATGGGTATACTTATATAAATGCAGGCAATACACTCATACACATAAAATAAAAATAATATTTTTTAAAATAAAAATAATTTTTAAAAAAAGAAAAACCACAAAAACACCTGCAGACTAGACCACCTCTAGAGATGAACCAGGAGGCAACAGAAAAAAAAAGTTCTCACAATAAACATCCTTTTTTATATTATGTGTATAATGATCTATTATGACGAATCTAAAGAGGGGAAAATAAAACACTGTATGATAAAATCTTCAATAAAAGGAGTGGGAGGTTCTTAATGTAGTTCTCCATTTTCGTAAGTGAGGAACTTGAGCAGCACACAGTTAATGTTCTTGTCTAAAACTAATCATTCAATCAAGGCAGAGGTAGAATTTAGATAGAAGCAGAGAAGGGAGGCTTGGAGTATAGTTCAGTGATAGTTCATGAGGCCCTGGCTTCAAATCCTGGGCACCACAAATTAAATGAGGTAATCAGAAAAAAAAATTTTCAAGGACTTTCAAGGGCAGGTAAAATCATATACTAATTACCATACAAAATCATACAAACACATAAAGTCAGGAGCAAAGCAAATACTTGTGTTCATCACCAGTCATAGTGGTGATCTCAAGTCCCAGTGCAAGACAAGGCAAAAAGAAACAGGAGAAAAATGTGTAAGAGCAGTGAGCTAAGTAAAGTGCAACAATGTGCTACCAAGTCCCTGAAGAGTTCTTAGAAGCACTACCGGTCCTTTTGCTCACAGTCTTGACTTCCCCTACAGTATTAGCAGATGCCTCACCCAATGACTCTGTCCTCGAAGTTTATCATTTGATTCTCCTACTATTTCTTCCCATACAGCAGCTGTTCGGTCAAAGGAACAGGAAGCCAAAACCTGTCCAAATTCAGGATGGGCCCATGTCACTCGCCATACAGATCCACTATGTGTCTGGAGAATGTACAGAAAAAAACATAAGTTTATTATTTCATGTACATAAAATTTTACTTGTCGCTGGGCATGGTGGAGCACACCTTTAATCCCAACACTTGGGAAGCACAGGCAGGTGGATCTCTATGAGTTCAAAGCCAGCCTGGTCTACATAGTAAGCCCGAGGTCAGCTGGGGCTACAGGGAGACCCTGTCTCAATAAGACAAAAAAATAAAATAATATTTTACTTGATAAAGAATACAAACTAAGTTTTACTTCAGCAAGAGGGGAAAGATACCAATTTAACATTTGAAGTTAATTTCTAAAATCTTATAACCTTTGGAAAATATTTAGGATTGTGGCCTTCTAGAGTTGTTTTTTTTTTGTTTGTTTTGTTTTCGTTTTTTTGTTTTTGTTTTTTTGAGATAAGATCTCACTCTGCAGACCAGGCTAGCCCTGAACTCACAGAGCTCCAACAGCCTCTACCACCCAAGCAATGGGATTACAAATGCACTGCCAAGCTGGGTGTGGTGGTGCACCCGTTTAATCCCAACACTCAGGTGGCAGAGGCAAGTGGATCTCTGTAAGATCAAGGACAGCCTGGTCTCCATAGTGAGTTCCAGGCCAGCTAGGGCTACAGGGGGACCCTGTCTCAAAGAGATAAAAAAATAAGTAAATAAAGAAACAAATAAATAAGCACTGCCACACCCGACATTTTATGTGAATGCTAAGGTTCCAAACTCAGGTCCTCACGCTTATACATCCAGCACTTTTACCAGCTGAGTCATCTACCCAGCCCCTAGAACTAAGTTATTTTAATATATACTAACAATGACAAAGCCAGCTGGATAAAGTTTACTATTTCCAGTGCTTGGAGACCTACTTCAGAATTTAGCCTTATCAGTCAACAGGTCCACCACTTTTTTTAATTGCAAATTATTTCTACAGACTCTATTGACTTAGACCAATAGATTAACCAAATGATCTGCTTTACAATCAGGACTGGGAAATGCAGAAACTGGAACTGACTGCTAAATGAATACAGGTTTGCTTTTGAGGTGATGAAAATGTTCTAGAATTATACTGGTGATGGTTATACAACTTTGTGAATATGGTTAAATTCTTTAAAATGGGTAACTATGGAGGCTGGAGAGATGGCTCACAACCTGGGTTTGGTTCCCAGCACCAACATGGCAGATAACAACCATCCTTAACTCCAGTTCCAAGGGAATCCGACACCCTCTTTCTGGCCTCTGCAGGCATTACACACATGTGCACATACATACACTCAGGCAAAACATTTACACACATAAAATATAAATAAATCAAAAAATATTTTTTTAAAATCAGTGAATATGGCATTTAATCATAACTCAAAAAAAAAATACAGTGCTTTAAAAATAATTATTTAAAGCCAGGCATGGTGGCGCACACCTTTAATCCCAGCACTTGGAAGGTAGAGGCAGGCAGATCTCTCCAAGTTCAAGGTCAGCCTGGTCTACATAGTAAGTTCCAGGCCAGCTGGGGCTACAGGGAGACCCTATCTCAAAAAATTGCATAGCACTACAGAAACATAAATTACTTAATTATTTACTTCAAAAGCTAACAATATACAGAGAAAGTAGCAACAGAATGGTTAAATGATTCTAGTTGACGTGTAATTAAACAAGGGATTGACTATTTTACGAACAGAGGCATTGAGTGAGCAAACAGCCCAAACTCTTATACCCTGAGAAATAAGTCAGACAGTCATAAGTCATGGACAGTCATAAGTCATGGACTATCTGACTTATTTCTCAGGGTACAAGAGTTTGACTTACAAAAGTTTGTGATGATGCAAAAGGATACTTTGAACTGTGAGTTTTGATCATTCCTGGGCAGTATCAGCCTCTGTGGATGCTGGGCAGTGGCAGCAAACCACAACACCAAGTTAAGACACACATGATCACAGTTAAGACTCCTCAGTACTAACCTCAGATGTTCAGAGGTAGATTGGGTGTACTAAATACATTTTCAATTTACAGTATTTTCTATTAAATTGGGTTTATTGGTACATAACCCCATGGTAAGTTAAGGCACACCTCTAATTCAAAGCTTGGAAGTATTTTATTGCCTTTATACATAAAAAATGTCAAATTACTATTTTATTCTTTTCATGATGTCAGAAATTTAAAAAAAGAAAATATAATAATCAAAAGATTCTGCTAGAATGCTAGATGCTTTAAGCATCAGTCTACCAATTACATTTAGAAAATTCCATACTACTGTTATTTTTTTCCCTTTTTTTTTCTTTTTCTTTGCTTTTTGTTTTTCTGAGACAGGGTCTTTCAAAATAGCTCTGGATAGCCTGGAACTCTCTATGTGGTCTCAAATTCAGAAGTCTGCCTGCCTCTGCTTCCTGAATGTTGGGATTAAAGGCATGTATCACCATGTTCCTCCCCCTTTTTGTTCACATGTATCCTAAACTTGCCTACACTTGCTTGGTAGCTGAGGGTGATCTTAAACTTCTGCTCCTCCTACTTTCAAATCCCCAGTGCTAGCATTAAAGGCTTGAGCCACCACACCTGGTTTACTTACGCAGTGCTAGAAAGCAAATCGGGGCTCTGAGCATGCTAAGGTAAGCACTGTACCAGTTGAGCTACACATACAACTACAATTCTGTATTTCTAACATTTTCTCTACATTTAATAATATAATTTCTTAACCCAGTAACTCCTGCATGGTAACAATGTCATAAACAAAGGTAAACCGCCCACTTATTTTTCAAAATTTTTTCAAGTCTTTTATGTTTTACTTGCAATTCTTATTTACAGAGCTAGTAACTAAAAGATACTCTAAGTTATATCTGTTTTATTAATTGCTAAGAGTCCCAGTAAAACATAACTCTAACTAAAGAACAGATCTGCAAAAAAGAGTTAAATTTTTAAATTAAATAGCTGATATGGTGGTTTATGCCTTTAATTCCAGCACTGAGGAGGCAGGTAAGAGAATTTCTGTGAGTTTGAGGCCAGCCTGGTCTACATAGTGAGTTCCCGGCCAGGGTTACATAGTGAGACCCTGTCTCAAGAAGCAATTTGTTTTGTTGCTTTTAAAATCAAATAACCAAGCATTGTAGCAGACACTTGAAATCCCAGCACTTGGAAGATGGATGCAGAAGGACTACCACAAATTTGATGTCAGCCTGCTGTACGTACCAAGTTCCAGGCCATCTCAAATGATCAAACAACCATTTTAAATCTCCATCAGTTAACTTCTGCTCCTCTTCCTTTCAAATCCCCAAAATAAGTTTAGAAATAGACTTTGAAGTCTCAAGAAAGTAGTAAGAGACAAATTGAAGCATTTCTTTTTATACAAAGTGTTTTGAGGGGCTGGAAAGATGGTTCAGTGGTTAAGAGCACTGGCTGTTCTTGCAGAGGCCCAGGTTCACTTCCCAGCACCTACATGGCAGCTAACAACCATCTGTAACTCCAGTTCCAGGGGATCTGGCCCCTCTTCTGACTTCCTTGGGCACTGCATGACATGGGTACACTTACTTACATGCAGGCAATACCACTTATACACATAAAACAAAAATAATAAATTTTTAAAAATAAATTAAATAAATAAAAAGCATTTTGAACTGGGCATGGTGGTATACACCTGTCATCCCAACATTAGGCAGGCTAAAGCAAGTGTTATTGCAAATTCAAGGACGGCCAAGACTATATAAGAAGACCCTGCTCAAAAAGTGCTTGCTGGAGCTGGAGAGATTCCATTCCCAGCACATACACGGCAGCTAACAACCTTCTCTAACTCCAGGTCAGGGGATCTGATGCCCTCTTTTGGCCTCTGCAGATATTTCATGACTTGGGGCAAAACACTCATACACATAAAATAAAAATAAATAAAATAAAATATACATATATATGTATGTATGTATACAAGAAAATAGCAATTAAATAGGCTGTTACAATACGACATAATTACTATTTCCCCACCTGTGGTTGTTTCGAGACAGGGATTCACTCTGTAGCCCAGGCTGGCCTCTAACTCATGGCAATCCTCCTGCCTCTGCTTCCCAAAGGGCTGCAATTTTCCATATATGGCCACAATTGCAAATTTTCTTATTCCCAAATTTCTTGTTACTTTAATAGTTTAAAAATGTAACGTAACTTTCTGGGGGGGGGGACACCATGTGAATATCATCACTGTCTAAACGATGAAGAGCAAGTCATTAATAATATACCAAATAAATAGTAAACATTTCCATTTCTTTAAGTGACCACAAAAATCAATACTGACCTTCCAGCTAGCAGTACAATGCCAATCTCCACTTTCACTTTTATCCCAGACCTATAAGAAAATAAAGATATATTTTACATAAAGAATCCTTAGAAACCAATACCAAAAAAAAAAAAAAAAAAAAAACCT